CCCCCCCACCCCCACCACACACACGCCACTACACCCATCTCGCTACCAGACCATGTGGGCACGCCCCCTCCTCTACATGGCCGTGGTACCAATTGTCCTTGTGCTGGCCAGCCTCGTGCCTCTTTCGCTCGGGCAGTGTTCTTCTTCTTCGGTCTCTGTTGCAGCTGATCAGACTGGTGCATGCGGGGCAACGCCCATGTCGCGAGTGGCAGCTGGTGATGATTACCTCTTTACCGCTGCATGCCATGTTGATGCCTCTAGTGTGCTGTATGTGTACAGGTGTAACAAGGACGGTACAGACTGTGTCTCTCATCTTCAAGACGCCCAGACAGACGCCTGTACACATCCCCACATCGAAATCGATCCTGTTGCAGGCAGGTACTACATCGCCATGGAACACGTTATCTTCTCAAACTCGATGTACCTCTTCTCGTGCTCGTTCAACTTTACTTCGTGCTACGCGGTCCAGATCGAGCCCTTTGCTCAGGCGGCAAAACGGCCGGCGGTTGTTGCTGATCCTGCTAACAACCGCGTCTTTGTTGCCTCCCCGGCCCAGTACAACAGCAACCACCTGCATGTCCACCGCTGTATCAACGGTGGTCAATCGTGCGACCTCACCGTAGACGTTTCAACGCTCGCCTCACAGGGCATCAACTCGGGCCTGGCGCCGTCCATCGCCTATGACTCTGTCACCTCGACCGTCTACATCGCTGTGCAGAACAACTTTGCCGTCACTAACAGGGCCTTTGTCTTCAAGTGCAATGACGACCTGAGCGCGTGCTCCATCCACAACGCCTCGGGCGGCGCCGTCGACGAGTCAGGCATTGAGCCGTCTATCGCCATCGATGAGGTCGGTCGCCTCGTCTACGTCGCCACCACTGACACTCGCTCAGCCGAGTCCAAGGCCCGCGTCGTCGTATGTGACATGAACATTTCTTCTTGCACCGGCTACGACATCTCGCCCACAAACAACGCCGTCTCCAACGTCAACATCGCTCTCAATGCCGCTGACCTCGTCTTCTATGTCTCGTATATCAACGAGGGCGCGTCGGGCTTCCTCTGGCTCTCCCGCTGCTCCACGGTCGACTTTTCCTGCACCGACGAACTGGTCGAGGCCAACTCTGGTACAGCCTACGCTAACGTCGACGTCGACACAACCGTCTCTCCGCCAAAGGTCTACACCTCGTTTGCCGACAGCTTTACCACCCCGGTCGTCGCCATTTCGGCCTGTCCGTCGCCGCCCGCACCGCCACCGCCGCCATCGCCGCCGTCGCCACCCCCGCCGCCACCGCCGCCTCCACCACCGTCGCCTCCTCCGCCGCCGCCATCGCCTCCTCCGCCTCCGTCGCCACCTCCGCCGCCGCCGTCGCCACCGCCGTCGCCGCCGCCGCCGCCGGACCCCACCCCTACTGCCATTTTCTCGCGCACCGGAACCACTGTCAGCGTCACCTGGGATCGCCCCACCAACTTGGCTGGCGCCTCGCTCGCTTCACCCGACATTGTCTGCTCCTCGCTCTTCTCCAACGCCGCAATCCTCGGATCCTCGGCTGCTTGCACCTGGGCCACGCCCTCCAAACTCACCGTCGTCCTCGGCGCGTCACCGACCGCCGTTCCGGGCAACATGCTCCTCTTCGCCGCTCCTGTTCTCGACGCCGCCACCCGCGCCGCCACCGGTGTCGTACTTCAGGCCGCCCCCAACTCGGCCCAGCCCGTTGCTAACCTCATCGCGCCACCAACCGTCGACTCGTGTGGCACCATCGCTATCGATGCCACCACCTCGTCGGGCATCCGCACCCAGACTACGTTTCGCCTCGTCTCGCCCGTCGACCTCGTCGTCTCGGCCGCCCTCGATGCCGCCTTTCCTGCCTCGCGTATCTCAATTGATGTCGGTGGTTGGCCGACTGCCACGCCGTACGTCTTTGAGGTCAACGTAACCGACTGGCTCGGCGTTTCGTCCTCTGCACAGACAACCGTTGTCAAGGATCCAGGCACGCCGCTCATCGCCCTCTCCGCCAAATCCCTGGCCATAACCTCGCGCACTCCGCTCGCCGTCGACGTCTCGGTCGCCTTTGCCGCATGCCCTTCGGATGCCACAACCCCAGTCGCCATCTCCTGGTCCACTCTCTCCGGGCCAGTCGATCCGTTCGCGACTGGTGTCGCTGACCCAGCCCGCAATGTCCTTCTCCTTCCACCGGGATCGCTCCCGCCGGGATCGACTCACGTCTTCAAGGTCAACGTCTCCACCACTGCCCTCGCTGTTGCCAAGTCGTCAGTTGACACCGTCTCGGTCTCGGTCCGCTTCTCGCAGCTCGTTGCCCACATTAAGGGCGGTGCAGCACGGACCATCCTCTCCAATGCTAACCTTGACCTTGACGGCTCCGCTTCCTACGATCCAGACGCCGTCGCTGGCGGCCTCACCTACACGTGGTCGTGCTCTGCAGGCGGAAGCGCGTGCGTCTCCGCACCGTCTTCGGTTGATTGGTCAAGTCCTTTGCTCTCCATCCCGGTTGCCTTGCTCACCGCTCCCCTCGGCTCCGACATGACTATTACTCTCCGCGTTGCTCAAGGTGCCCGCTCCGCAACCACTACCGCCGTCGTCACCCGCGCAAACCTGCCGTTTGTCAGCACCCGCGCCGTCTGGCGTGACGACGACCTCGTGCCCAACGTCAACGAAGTCATCATCTTTCTCTCCGAGGTCCTGCCCGAGCTCGCCGACGACACCCTCGAGTTCCTCTGGGATGAGTCAGCGAGCCGCATCGACCTCCATCCCGACAACGACACCCTCGCCACCACGACAGCCACCATGCGCAACTTTGGCATCCGCGCAAATCGCATGCGGACCGAGATCGACTACGACTTTCGTCTCTACGTCCGTGTCATCCGCGAGTCGGGCACCTTTGCCCGTGCTAGCCCTGGAACGCGCATCACTTCGCGCTCTGTCGATGCTGCCTGGCGTGCCGCCTACCCGCACGCCACCTTTCGCGGCTCGGCTACGGTTGTCGGCACCCGCGCCATCTCTCCCTACTTTTTCATCGCCTCGCAGCGTGTACTCCTCAACGCTGTCCCCGCAGGCGGCACTTTCACCACTAACGTCTCGTCCGATGCTACCGCCGCCACCCTCGTCACATTTACCTTTGCAGGCTGGACAGACGCAGACGACGACACCGTCCTCTACGCCATCCAACAAGAGCTTCCCTCTGGCGACCGCGTCGACCTGGTGCCCTCGTCCATCGGAACCTCGCACTCGGTCTACCTGCAGGCTGGCCTCGCCGCAGATGACTTTCGGGTCTCGGTCATCGGCATTGTCTCCGACGACCGCTTCGGTGCTGCCCCGCCCGTCCGCCTCACTCTCCGCGTCCGCCCCTTCCCTGTCGCCTCAGGCTCACCAGGCGCCGCCGCTGCCTCGCTCATCGACGGCATCCTCGCCGACGCCATCGCCCTCGGCAACACCCACCAGGCGCGCCAGCTCATCTCCTCCATCTCGGCAGTCCTCAACGGACCGCCGCCCACCCCGGGCGCCACCGTTGATCCGGTTGCGCAGACCTCGCGCCTCCGTCTGTTCAACGTCCTTTCCTCGGTCTCGCGAGTCACCAACAGCACCGTCGGCGAACTCGCGCAGACCGCTTCCCTTCTCTCGCTTGTCCTCGGCACGCCTGCCGAGGTGTCACCAGCACTCACCATCCGCGCCACTGCCATGGTCCAGCAGCTCGTCGCCGGCCTCGTTGGTAAGCGCGTATCCGAGGCCCAGGCCTCGTCGGTCTCGACCGCCCTTGCTGCCATCATCCGCGCCGACGGCGCCGCTGGCTCCTCCTCGGACGGATCCGCCACAGCGACCGCTTTTGCTCTCCTCTCCGACGTGACTGACGCCCTCATGGCCGACGCCGTCGACGGCATGGCCCCGCTTGTCGCTTCCAACTCGATGTTTCGCCTCGAGGTTCAGCAGTTTGCTGTCGCTAATATCGCCGCCAGCAAGCCGACCCGCGATCCACAGGCCGCTGTCACCGTGGTCGAGGCCTGCTCCGCTGTCGCCACCCCATCGCCGCCCTCACCTCGACAGGCATCGACGCAAGCACCTCGGTCCGCGAAAAGTGCCTCGCCTTTTCCTCCAACCCGTACGCCTTTAACGGCGGCCGCCGTGTCGGCGACCCCAACGGCACCGTTGCCTTTGACGCCCTCTCGGCCGCTGTCATTTCGCTCGATTATGCCACCACCCCGGCGTCTGCACTCTCGCTCGGCGCCGCGCTCCCAGCTGTTCAGGGCAAACTTGCTGTCGACCGCGCCCCGGATCCCATCCGCATCGTCATCCCGCTCAGCGGCGCAGAGCTCGGCGCAGATGCCTGCGTCTTTTGGAGCGACGCCTTGGGCGGATGGAACACCACCGGGTGCCAGGTCGGCACCGTCGTCCGCGGCTCCCACGCAGAGTGCGTCTGCAACCATCTCACCACGTTTGCCGTCAACACTCTCGATGCCTCGGACTTTGCCCGCCTCGGCAGCGTCGAGGACCAGCCCGAGGCCCTCATCGTCGTCGTCATACTCTGGGCCGCCTTCCTCATCGCGCTCCCGTTCCTCTACATGTACGACATCCGTGACCGCGAGCTGCTCCTTGTCGACCGAACCGGCAAGCTCTCGGCCTTCCTCCGTGCCAAACGCGCCAAGATCAGAGGCAAGAAGCACCTGCTTTGGCACACGCTCAAAGAGTCGATGGTCCACAAGCACCTCTGGCTGTCACTGGCCCTCAAGCTCGAGGACGATCCCTTCACTCGTGTCTTCCGTGCTGCCGTTCTCCTCACCACCCTCACTGCAGGCATGGCCGTCGCTGCCGCTTTCTACCGCGACCAGGACGACGACTCGGTCTCGGGCACCCGCGGCCGAATCACAGAGCTCGTCGTCTCGGTCATCATCGGGCCGGTTCTCTTTGGCCCGCTCACCCTCGCCGCCATCCTCATGCGCAAGTCCTCGGCCGGTACCGTCTATGGCCTCCTCCCGCGCGAGCGCCATTGGCTGTGGATGAATCCGAGTGCCTCGCCGGCAGACGCCATCGGCCGTGGCGGCGATCACCACTCGTTCGACAACGTCTCGCTCATGCCCGACCGCTTCACAGAGAGTCTCTCGCTCTCGGAATCTCGCGCCTCGTCGTCGTCGAGCGTCTCGGAGCAGGAGGAAGGCAGTTTCTCGTCGTCGTCGGCCTCGACCAGCACGTCAGCCTCATCGTCATCGTCTTCGCTTTCAGCCCGTGACGTCCACGACGCGCTAGCAGACGCCTTGCTCATGACCACCGAGGCCGTCCGCAAGAATCGCTACGACTTTTCATCCTCGATTGGCAGCGATCGCGGGATCCCGGTCGCCTCTGGCGTTGCCCGCAAGCGCCTCGCTGGCTCGTCGTTCTCGTCCGAGTCAGACGACGGCGCTACCAAGCTCGCTCAGCGCAAGGGCCCCCGTCGCTGTGGCTGCCTCTGCCGCAAGGCGTACAAGCCAACCGTCGACGAGATGATTGCGGCCCTCCCGCGCAACGTCCTTAACCTCGCCGCCTCGGATTTTGCCCGCATGGACCTCGATGGCAACGGCTCGCTCGACCGCAGCGAAGTCGCCGTAATCATGTCTCACCGCGGCTGGATCGTTGAACCCAAAGAGCTCGAAAACATATTCAAGGTCATCGACACCGACGCCAGCGGCGCCATTGAGTTTGAAGAGTTCCTCAGCGTCGTCGCCCTTCGCCACTACAAGCTTGCCGCGGAGGAGGAAGCCATGCGCCATGGCAAGCTCGCGGGTTGGTTCGGTTGGCTGGTCTTTGTCATCCTGGTCGTCGTCTCGGCCGGCTGCTCGCTCCTGGTCATCGTCTACGGCCTCAAGTTCTCGCGTCCGGTTGTTCACTCATGGCTCCGCACCTTCTTCTACACCCTTGTTGCCGACATTCTCTTCTTTGAGCCACTCAAGGTCATCGGCGGTGTTCTCATGGCTTCTGTCGCCTTCCTCTCCGACACAAATCTAGCCGAGCTCACCAACCTCTTCTGATGCGCTTCTTCGGCGAGCCCCGCCTGCACATTGTTGAGAAACCCTGCATCAAGCGCCACTGCAACTGCTGCGAGTCGTTGGCACTCGCCGTCGGCTGGCACCTTGCAAAGCGAAGCGGCTGGCACCTTGCTTTGCTAATAGCTCCGATGGCGTCGACACAGTCGGCTCCGACGGAGCTGGAACCCACCCGCCCACCCTTCGATGACGATGCGCGATGGCGACGACGGACACCTCTCGCGCACAATTATAGTCCTAAATCACGCACATACGAGCTGACGATGATTGCTCGTATGCACGGAGAATACCGTGCCGATTGGCACGATGCTGCTGGTCCTGGAGGCCAGGGAAGCAGGTGCGACGATTTCTCAAGACTCGTCGATCCCGCTCGGCTAGCAACACTGTAACGTTGTTTGAAGATGTCATCAGTTCATTTCTGTGCTAGTGCACGCCGACTGCCCAAATCCAGTCGCAGGCAGGACGCTAGTTGGCCGGAGTTAAAACACCCGATCAAACGCAACCGTAAACTGCATGGTCTTGAGCAGCTGCAGTGCCGAGGTGCAGTCAGGCCGCTTTGCGGCGTCGGCGTCCCAGCAGGCCTCTACAAGGTCACCCACTCCTGGATGATCATCGACAAAGCCCTGCGGGAACATCGGCCGGGTTCCGGCCACCAGCGCCTCGGGCGTAAAGTGCTGCGCATGCTCCGCCAGCGCAATACCGGTAAAGAGCTCATAAGCGAGGACTCCGAGCGCGTAAACGTCCGCTGCTTGAGTCCATGCCGTGGCCTCGACACTCTCGCCGCTCATCCATGTCGCGAGGATTTCTGGTGGGTAGTACATGTGCTTGCCACGCATGACTTGCCGCTCAAACGCGTCGAGCTTGGTCGGCACCAGTACAGCGCTCGATGTCAGGTATGCGCCAGTCACCTGACCCCGCCGCGACCGCTGGACAAGAACGTTGCCCAGGTTGAGATTGGCGTGCACTCGCCCGGCCTTGTGCAGCGCTGCAACCGCGCACACCACGTCATGCAGAATCGAGACCCGCTCATCCATCTCGTCGAGTAGGCCGCCCTCCTTTCGGATGAGGACCGAGAGCGGCGAGGCATGCGAAAACTCGTACACCACATACACCGCGGTTGGGCACGTCTCAGAGTAGCCGAGCACCGGAACCAGCGACGAGTTTGCCACGGTGCAGAGGCCACTGGCACTGCTCACTGCCGCCGCGTGCTCGACTGGGCTCTCCGCCGCCACCTTGCGGACGGCAACCTTGGCGCCGCGGTACAAGCCATGGTACAGCACACCGAGAATCGAGTCACCCAGCGGTTCGAGCACTTGGACTGGCTCGACGCTCGCTAGCGCCGACGCCGGCGTCACCATCAACGGCGCCTGGCTTGGCTGCGCGCCGCTGCTCTTGCTTGTGCCCAGCGCGTCGGCGCCTGCTCCATCGCCGTCACCTGCTCCATGCGGAACGCCCACGGCAATCTCCTCGAACAGCTGCAGCGCAATGACCGACTCGGACGGCTCAAACGACTTGGGCGAGAGGACCGACGACGACGGTACCGCGGCTCCAACGTCGGCCCGCCCGGCACCACCCTCGCCCTGAATGGCCGAAAACGACCCGGTAGCCAGCAGTCGGGCCTCCAGCGCCTGCAGCAGCGTCTTTCGGCGAGTCACCAGCTGGTTGTACTTCCACAGCATCTCCTCGCACGACTGTTGCACAATGACAGAGTGGTCGTGTGCTGACCGCTTATTGTCGACCGTCTGCTTGATGCGATACATCAACCGGTACAGCTCGCGCTCCACACGCGATCCGTACTCATCGACCTTGGCCTGGAACATCTCCGACATCGACTCGGCCGAGTCCATCGTCGCCTCGGCTACCCGCTGCAAGCCAGCCTCAAACGCGTCCTTGATCACTCGCCCAGACACCTCGTACGCAGACGACTTGCGGAGAGACGGTACCGGGATGTATTTGAACAGCCAAAGACCGCAAACTTGCGCGTCGACGACTTGTCCAGCGTCCGCAGCGTGTGCGTCTGGATGTCGTGGGCGAACGACTCGAGCTCGGGCGTCTCAAGCTCAGGGAACACAATCGAGAGCTCAAGCACCTTTTGCACGTCGTTCTGGTACGCCAGCAGGTGCGGCTCGAGTACCTCCTTGACCTTGGCCTCGATCTCGGAAATGATGCCGCGCGCGCCCGAAAGAAGCTTGGAGACCAATGCAGACTGGATGTTGAGAGACGCCACTTTGAAGACGTGCGTCATAAAGTCAACAAACTCGCTTGCCTGCTCCTGCGACGCAAACTTGACATTGTCGGGCACAGAGCCGGCCGACGTCCGCGCACGCTTGCGAGAATCAAAGATGGCTTCAAACCTGGCCCGCACCACCTTGGCCTCGAGCGTGCCGGGTACACGGTCCGGCGACGCCAGCTCAGCATCCACAAGATCCAGAATCTGCGCAGGATCGGTCATCAGCGAGAGCGACGTCACCGAGATGGCGTCGGCAATGAGTGACGGTAGCCGCGCAGACGCCTGCGAGTACGCAAAGTGCTTGATCTCGTTGACTGCTTCGCGGATGACCTCGAGCGTTGTGGCCGAAGTGACGAGAAAAGACTCAAGGTTCTCCACAGACGCTGCCACCGTTGAGAGCTGCACATGTACATCCTGAACAAACGCCTTGCACACCAGCGACATCTCGACCAGCGCTTGCCGCAACGAGATGATGCCGGCGTTGGTGTAGCAATGCCGGAGCATGGACTCGAGCGGCTCGTTGAGCCGCGAGTTGTGCCACACAGCCTCCACGCCCTCCTGGAACGACCCAATATCGTTTTCCTCCACCATCTTCGGATACACCACGTCGTCCGTCCACGTCTCGCCCCAAGCAATCCGCGCAAAGTCCTTGACCCATGGGTACACGTCTGGCGATGGCACCTCGACCAACCCGAGGTCTTCCGACGACGACGAGCCACAACACGATCCGTCATCGCCCACACCACTCCCAACCTCGCTCCCCAGCTCGGCTAGGTCGGACCCGTCGTCATCCGACGAGATCTGGATCGAGTCCGAGTCGCTCCCGCTCTCGTCACCGGTCGCGCTTCCGGTAGCCGACGGCAACAGCTCGCCAGCCTCCGAACTGGCCGCCCGACTCGCCTCGGCTGCTTCGGCTGCCTCGGCTGCCGCAAGCGCAAACGACGACAGGTACTGCCGTGCCGTGTTGGCGTACTGCGCGTACTTGGCCGAGACCGCAAACACGTTCTGCGGCTTGATCCGCGGAATGTGGCTTTGTGCCCCCGGTGGTGACGCAGGAGGTGTGGCGCCGGAGGGAGCCGTAGCAGCAGCCGCAGCACCTGGCGTGCCAGAGCCGGTCTCGCCGGATCCGCTCGCCGGCGAGCTCGGACCAGGCTGCAACTTGGGCGTGCCAAACAGGTTTTGAGCGACAAAAGCCTTGACTTCGTCCTCGTCCATGTCGCCAGACCGGATGTTGCGCTGGTCAAACTTGTTGACAAACACGTAGATCTCCTGCTGCAAATCGGCGGTGATGTCCGAGATGATCGAGTTGATGTTGGCCTGCGCCGAAGACTGGAGCGAGGCGTAGTTGAGAACAATAGCAATGATGGAGGCCTGCCGCAGCGTCCGCCGCAGCACGTCCGACAGCATGTCCATACCAAACTCGTTCGGGCCTGGCGAGTCGATGAACGACAGCCGGCCAAACATGCCGGTCTGGGCCATGACCGCAAACTCGAGCTCGATGAGCGGCAAGTCAGCGAGGTCGGCAATCGACTCGAGCGGGTTGGGCCCGTCGACGTCGAGCATCTCAACCAGCCGCAGAGTGTCGTTGGCCAGCACCAAGCGCGAGAGCACGTTGTCGACGCCGGCCACTGGCTCCGAGTCAAACACAAGCTCCGGTGCCGAGTCAAGGACCAGCTCCAGGCCGGTGTGGCCCAGCGCTACTGCCCGCGTTGCCTCGGCCCGGTGGCTCAGTGCGTGGCGGATCATGTCAAGCGACTTGTTGAGTGCCTTGACTGTGCCGGGTGGGAGGGTGAGCGTCGGGACGGCCTTGCCTTGGACATGAGTAATGACCGTGGGGATGACGGTCATGGCCGACGCCCGTGACGGGCAGACGTCAACCCCGACCAAGCCCGAGATGGTCGACGACTTGCCGGCCTTCATGAGCCCGACCATGCCGACGTAAGTGGCGGCCTCAACCACCGATGACGCCAGCTTGAACAGCGCAGCGCGCCACTTGTCGTGCTCGGCCTGGATCGACGAGTCGTCGTCGTCGCGCTTGTTCTCATGGACAAGCGCGTACATGAGCCCAATGAGCTGCAGCAGCTGCGTCTGCCAGGACACAGCCTCCAGCTCGGTCCGTGTCTCTTCGAGCGCTCCCTCGGCCTTCAACAGCTTGTTCTGTCGGATCTTGATCTTGCGTTCGAGTTGCTTCACCTTGGTTGCAGCCCGAGGTGGGAGGCTCTCGCCAGGGCCGACGCTGTCGAGGAGTTTTGCTCGGTTCGATTTCGCCATAGCCACCTCGTCGAGCTGGGCTTGGACCACAGCGGCTCGCTTCCGCACACGCCCGACAAGCTGCCACTGCCGAGTGTAGACCGAGGCCAGAAACGGCATGATAGGGTGGTCCGAGCTGGGGACCTCGCCGTCGGGCCCAAAGTGGTCGAGGTCAAACTCGGCGAGAACCGCGTCGGCAAGGTCGGCCACGGCCGAAGCCTCGAGCTTGGGCTTGGTGAGGCCATCTCCTTCATCAGTCGGTGGGAGAAAGACAGAGGCCAACGATCGCGACGGCGAATGGGCCACATCGCTGCTGGCACTGCTGGATGGCACAGCCGGCTTGTCGAGCAGCGCAATGTAGTCGGTCACTACTGCAGCCTGCTGCTCGCGTGAGACGTTTTCGGCAGCAGAGAACCAGTTGGATCCCGAGGTGGTCATGGCGCGGGTCCGGCTTCGCGCCTCAGGTCCGTCGAGACGCGGGCTGGGCGCAAGGCCCGGCGTCGTGCCATCATTCTTGACCGACGTCCAGTCGGTGTTGACGTGGATAAAGCGGAGCGTGCGAACCGTGTGCGGCGCGTCGAGAGTAGCAAACGCCGTCGCGGGCTTTGCCGGTTCAAGCGCAGACTGCGCCTCGTCCGCGAGGAGCATCTGATCCGGTGGTACAGCAGTCTGGGTATGGAGCGGCGAACGCTCAAAAATGCCAAGAGGATCGAGCAGGTTGACGCCGGGGGTCACCATTGACGAGTACAGCTGGCCCCACTTGGCGTCGGGCATGGCGGCGGCGAGGCGGCTGATGGTGGCCTGGTGGAGGATGGCACCGGCGCCGGACGAGGCGTCGGCGAGAAAGGCAAGAACAAGGTCTTTGTAGACAACCGGGACGTACTGGCCGAGGTAGCGGAAAGAGGCCACGCGCCGCGAGACCACCTCGACAAAGATGAGTGCGATCTGGCGGACGTCGATAGCCGGCGACGAGAGGAACCAGTGCAGGTGGCGAAGATTTGGCGGCTGTAGTGTGGCAGAGAACGCGCCGGCGAACGAGGGCGTGGTGCGGAAGAGGTCAATGAACTTGATGAGCGCGTACGAAGCCGAGGCCTGGGTAAACTTGTGCTCGAGCGCAGGCGTCCAGTGGGTGTTCGACGAGGCGAGGAGAAGGCCAAAGACAATCGACTTTTGGATGCACTCAACCGAGTTGGGCGCGGTGATCTCGAGCGGCGCAGGCGGCGGCGAGTCGGAGACGGGCGCAAGCTGCGTGGCGAGCTGGTTGAGGTCCACAACAAGTGAGGTCTTACGGCCAGCTGCGGTCGGGGTAGAGAGGCCCGACGACGTCGGCGTCACTGCCTCGGCACGGCTGCTGTGCTGCGCTTCGGCCTCGACCGTCGACGCCCAGAGCTGGGCCAGCTCGTCCATAGCCGCATGCCGGGTGGGGGCGTCCTTGAGACTCTCGATGGCGGCTAGCGTGCGCTGGACAGGCGCGAGGAGCTCAGTCATGATGGTAGTGATGACGGTGACTGGGAGCTGCGGCGCCGAGGCTCGGAGAACAACATAGTCGCCGTCGCTGCAGAGCGCGTCGAGGGTGAGGGAGGCAAAGGCATTACCGCTCGCGCCGCCATCAGGCGCGAGCTGGTCGACGACGTCTGCGAGAGACGCCGGTGAGAGGTCGGAGACATCGTCGACGCCAGTAAACGACTCGGGGAACCGGTAGGCAACAAAGCCTGGCGGCGCTCCAGCGGCCAGAGCGTCGAGCGCCTCGGCAGTTGTCTCAAACTGCTGTAGCGCCGAAAAGTCAAAGGCTATGTCCGGGAAGAAGTGCGAGACAATAAAACCCAAAAAGGTGGTGAGGAGCATGGTTCGCGGCTGGACAAAGGCCACGAGCGACGCCTCGAGTGCTGATCCAGTGGTGCCGAGGATCGATGCCACGCGGAGCGCAATCGACGGTCCCTCGGCAGGTTCGGCGTCGGCGGCAGTTGACTCGGCGAGAGTGTCACATGGAGTAGCGGAAGAGCTCCAAGGCTCGGTAACCACCGGATTGACGGCAAATACGTTGAGCTTGTGGTCGGGCGAAATGAGCTGGACAATCTTTGGTCCACCGCCGTATGTGTTGGCGAGCAGCTCCCAGATCTCGGCCGAGATGACGACCACAAAGTCGGTGATGGCTGAGCCTGCCGGCAGGGCCTTGATGGCCTTGAACTCGGCCTTGGGATCAAGAAGCATCTTGTTGGAGATCGGCCCGGGGCCCGGAGCAAGACCAAGCTCTGCCGCTGCAGACGAAGAGGACGACGCCGTCGAAGATCGGAGCTTTGCAGCCGAGTGCGCAGGTGCGGCAACCGCAGCAGCAGCAGCAGAGGATGAGGCCTCTGCCGCAGCGAGCTCGGCCTCTGAGCGAAAGACTCTCTTTGCTCTTGCCATCAACTCTGGAGGCAACGAAGCGGCCAGATGTGAGTTTGGAGCAAAGAGAGCCGAGCTGACCGAGTTGCGCCACTTGTTGTACCATGCCCGTGCGAGGATGCAAGCATGTGGGTGACGAGTGAAACCAAACAAGTTTTCCGAGGTTGTAAAGGGAGAAGACAGGAGAGGATTGCTAGTGGTGAGCGTGGGTGTGGTGGGCTTGGAGGAGGTGGAGGGTGGCACAAGCGTGTCGTCGTCGTCTCTGCCATGATCGAGGCCAACCTGACCACCACCACCACCACCACCACCACCACACGTGCTGGAATGACTCTCCTGTTCACAGGCTACAAACGGGGGCATATACAAGTGATTAACCTCTTCTACAAGTACGACCGCTTCCACCTCGGCTGCACAAAGCCGCTTAGTTGCCGCCATAGAGGGCGAGGTGGGGAAAGAGAGGGGGGGGGGGGGAGGGGGGGGTGCGTTCAGTGGTGTGGCATTCTGTCGCATTTGCAAGTTTTATGGCCAACCGGTGGTGGAAGAAACGGCGTGACTTGCCCATTGATGCGGTGACCTGACATGTACGGCAGGGGGGCGGGCAGGTCTTGGTGTGGATGGCGGACAGGTTGATGTGTTTGTTGATCGAATAGTTGGCAACTCTTTCAACTAGCGGGCCATTTGCTGGCGGACGGCTTGGAGGTGATTGGCGATGGAGCGATGTAGGTCGGTGAGAGCCACTGCGTGGTCCTGGTCAGCAGGTGCAGGCGGCGGTGGTTCGACGGGGGAGAGGATGTAGTCAGAGAGGAGGAGGAGGACCTTGACAACGGTGTGTGAGTGAAGGGCAAAGGCTTCGGTGCGTGAGGCGCGAGATGACGATGTGGGTGGACCCTGGAACCAGAGCGGGCCAAAGACCTTGGCGAGCCGTTCGAGGGTCACGCCGTGGCTCTCTTCGGCTGCGAGGAAGCTCGTGAGTTTGTCCACCATGTAGCGGACAACCTGCACGTTGATGGGCGGTAGATTGGCAATGACCGAGCGGATCTGACCAAGTGCGTGGACGTCAAGCGTGTTGGACCGCGGCGACTCGGGGACAGTAGCCTGAGAAGCAGAGAGGACAAGAGCGTTGAGCGCGACCGAGAGCAGCTTGTGCGACGAGTCGGGTAAGAGTGGCTCCGGCAAGTGGCGGAAAAAGTGCAGGACGACGCCAGCAGGGATGTGAGGGTCAGTGTCGGCAAGCGTCCACTGAGGCTTGCGCGAGGCGTCCAGCTCGGCCACAGCGGCCTCGATGGAGCCGCGGATAAAGACAAGGTCGTGATCAAAGAGGTCTGCGGTGGTGAGGAGCTCGCCGGTGTTCTCGAGGTAGTCAAAGGCAACGCGGAGCGGGAGTGGGACCGGGTCGACACCCAGCGCCACATTGCGGCGGCCAAGGACGCTGAGCGAGAGCGCAAACTGCTTGACCGAGCTCGGTCGGGCCATATCCGACTCGGCGGCAAACTGGGCGTCGCGCTGAGCGCGCCAAGTCTCAAACACTCGCGTCTGCGACGCGCTGAGATTGAACTTGGGCTGCGGCTTTGTGGATTCGGTCGCCGGCCGGGCAGCTGCTACCGCTGCTGCCGCACGAGCCTTGACCCGAGCCTTTTCGGCCTCGAGCGTCGCGGATGCGTCGGCAGCGTCGCCATCACCCGACGCATCAGCGCTGTCGAGTTCGGCCGCTGGCAATGCCTGGCTCGGCGCCGCGACGTCAAAGAGGCCCGGCTGGCGCGCGTGGTCGATGAGAAGGGTGATGATGCGGACAACGGCCGGGATCTGCAACAGGTACTCGGGCTCAAAGCGCGTGTGAGTGACGGTGGCCAAGGCCGGCGGGCGGAGAAGGGCCGGGCCGAGCGCGACCGCCAGTGACGTCGATGACATCGAGTTGACCGAGGCATTGTCAGCGACCCTAGCCAGGAGCATGACAATGACTTGCAGCGTCTTGAGGTGCGACCACGGGAGGCCGATGCGGAGGATCATGCCGAGCTCGTTGAGCACCATGGTCTCGCGAGCGCGCGACGAGAGCGCCTCGCCGGTCGCCTCGGAGACCGCGGACTTGGCCTCTTGGCACTCGGAGCCAAGCTTGACAAGCCGCGCGTAGAGCGACGAGTGAATGACCGGTTCGGGCAGATGGTCGAGGTAGTACCGCAACAGGCCGGCAACCGTAAAGGCCGGCTTGCCAGGGATGAGCCACTGATCGTCGACATCGCCGCTGGAGTGACGGCTGCCGAGCGAGGCCGTCGATGTCGAGCATTGTCTGTCCAATACCAAGTCGGCCTCGGAGCCTGAGGCACGGCCATCCAGTTTTTCAGACGCAGAAAAAAGAGTTTGCAGTTTTGCCCTCTGATCCTCAGCAGAGGCTTCCCCAATGCGAGTCAGCTCTGCCACCAGTGCGGCGAGCGACGACGAGTTGGGCACGACCTCAAACAACCCGCGCTTGTCGAGGCCATGTTTGAGAAGGAACCGCGTGATGAGTTGAACCAGGTACGGCACTCCGCTGCTTTCGAGCAGGGCCACTCCGAACATGGTAGTTGTGTTGGTAGGGTGTGGTGGTGGGGTGTGGAGGGGAGGAGGGCGAGCGGGAGTGCGGTGGTGCAGAGGTGAATGCGGTCGGTTGGTTGAGGTTGGTGGACGTGATGGTGTCGGGCGCAGAGGTAGATCGGGTCGTAGGAAGAGGGATACAGTTTGATCGGATGTTGTTTGAAGGTTATATAGGGTGTATGTCGGCGCGGGCGGGGGGGGGGGGGGGGGGGAGGGAGTAGGGAAGGAGGACGGGGGACG